CGTCACTATAGCAAAAACCACCCAAAAAAAAAAAAAAAAAAAAAAAAAAGACAGTAAGACAGTTTATTTTGTGTGTGTGTGTTTTTTTTTTCTTTTTTTCCCCCCCAGAAGCATGTGCATAGAGAGAGAAAGCAACTTTCAGTGGGGTGTGGCCATGGCACGATCCTTTCTCTTCCATTTCCCCACTCTGTTGGGACTGGGGGCACACAAGTACATGTGCCTGGCATGTTTTTCAAGCTGCCAGGGCTGGGATGCAAACTGCACAGTCAGTTGGTCATTTGGGATGACTCCCTTAACCGCTCGGCCACAGGGCAGCTCAGACGAGGCTTTCATGGGAGGAGTCAGTGCCATTGCCTGGGGTGTGGGGACAGCTGTGAGTCCAGATGACCCGGCTTTTGTTCAGGGCCCGGTCTACGTCCAGCTGCTGGCCTTGTGTCCAAACGCCATCCATGCAAAAGGAGGCAGAAGAGTTCTCTCCTAGAGGGAGGTGGCATAGAGGTGGCCCTGGAGCCTTAGGTGGCTTGGACCCAGCAGCTCTTCCCACTGTCCCAGTTCTCCAACTTGAGCTCTCTAAAGCATTTTGTCCCCATAGCCCCGGTATCTTCTCTCATCTTGAGGCCTTTTCTTCTTCCCTCCCAGAGGTTTCCTTCCCCTGAAAAATGTGTCTCCTCCATTTAGCTGATCCCAATGCTGGGGAACTTGAATGTCATTCTCTCACCTGGTAAAGCCCCCAAGAAGAGACGCCCCTGCGGCTGGGCCCAGAGGTTGACGAGGGAGCCGAGACCCATGGGAGGCAGAGCGAGGACCTCCGTCTTCGTACCCTGACTCAAGACCACCTCAGACCCATTCAGCCTCAGCCGAAGAGGGAGTCCCAAGACCAGCGGCAGCTCCAGCACTGGCTCGGACCCAGAAGCCAGCACCACCTTCTGCAGAGGGGCGTGAGTTAAGGGAGGTAAGAGTGAGCACGCGCCCGCCTGTGGCCCCACCCCAGCTGCTTCAGTTCTGCCGCTTAGCTACGCCTCACCTGCCAGCTGTTCTCACCATTCCATCCTCGCTCTGATTTCCCCACCACCCTCTAAGAAACCACATTCACCCAGGTCAATACGCCATCTCACAAATAAAAGATGTTTGCTTGCTCTTGGGCAGCTTTGTGATCTGTTCCTGGCCCTCCCACCTCACTCCCGCCTGAGCACCAGCCTTAGTCCCAATGCTGAAATTGCTCCGGGTCTCTGCTGTCCATAGGCAGTGCCCCCTCCCTTACTTGATCTTGGAGGCGAAGGCTGAGCCAAGAAGGCTTCTCTAGTGTCCCAAGGGCAAGGAGGTGGCCTGAGCCTGCTGCCTGCTTGAGTCCCAGGTCCAGAGAGAAGGCCCAGGGCTCTGCCTGAGGCTGTGGAATATCTGCAGGGGTTGGGGAGTGGGGTGCGGGATTGAAATAATGCTTCTGATGCTTGGGGTCTGAGACTTTATGGAGGAAAAGGGCCAGTGGGAGAGGAGACAGAAGAAAACAGAGCTAGCCATGAAGGCAAGAACTAGACTCTAGGACCAGCAGATGGCATAATGGTTACATCACTGGACTTCCCCATGGATAACCCTGGTTCAAGTCCCGGACCCAGTGCCTTCAAACTCATGCTGCTGAGTGCATGTGCGCGTGTGCCCAAAATCCCAAGAGGAAAAGGGAGGAGAAGATCCCTTTTTTTTAAAAAAAAAAAAAAAAAAAAAGAAAGAAAAGAAAAGAAAGAAAGAGAAAGAAAAAAAATAGAACTAGACTCAAGACCAGAAGCTGACACGTCAGCCTCAATTCTTCTGTGTCATTCCCATTATTTACTCCACTCTACTCCAAAATAGAACTAGACTCCAAGGAGGCTCACCTTGAAGACTGAATTCCGCGTGAGTCCCTGGAGGGAAGAATGTTCCAGGCTGCAGCTCCACATCACAGCTTCTGAGGCTCATGGTCCCAGAAGCTGAGGTCTGAGCTTGGGGGTCCAGCCAGGAGTACCGACGCAGGCAGCCATCCAGGGCCGGGACCAGCTGTGGGGGTAGGGGTGGGGAAGAAGTGGCAATGTGGGGACACTGGAATCAGGGCCTCTGAGCCCTAGTTCCAGCCTCTAGTCTCAGTTTATTCCAGGACTCTCCGGTTGGAGTGACAACAATAGACAGTGTTTCGGTCGTCCTTTCTGGAATGATAGCTCTGTGGAAAGCTTGCTCAGAAGAATGAGGTGAAGAAGAGGAGTGGGAAGGAGGGAGAAGGGCAAGCGCAACACGGAGCATTGAGTGCTAGGCAGCACCTACCTGCCACTGCAGCCCGAACCTGCAGAGCTTCAGACCTTTGGAGCTTTTGCTTTAAGTCTCCTGATGCAGGCCTCGCCCACTCTGAGACACATGTCTCCTCCATGCAGCTCTCAGCCCACTCCCTCCCCATAAGTGTGGACTTAGATTCCCATGGCACCCACTCTGGGGTGCTTTTCTGAGCCTTGGCCATGGTTCCACCCCTGTGATGAAGTTACCGGCAACCGAAGGCTGGAGACAGGGAAGAGCAGCCCCCCCAGCGCAATCCTCATGACAGGCTGAGACTTGCTGTCCAGGGGTCCGGAGACCTGTCTTAGGTACAGCACCTCCTCCCCGTCCACCTGCAGCACCACTGAGTCCCCCTGGATCTTCACTTCCACCTGCAGGAAGGAGGTGAGAAGCAGAATCAGAGGCTGGACTCCCCTCTGAGGCGGCCTGGCACCTTAGAGAAACAGGCACTGAAAGATTCAGCCAGCACCCTTGGCTCACTAGGCCGGTCTTGGCACTTTCAAACGGATGAGCTTCAAAATTCTTTTTTGTGTTTGTTAAATTCTGGGCTAGGGCACGTACACTCACCCGAGAGAGACAGGAACAGAGAAAGAGGGAAAGTGAGAAATCACCTCCCTGGGGGGATGGCCACACCACAATCCCTTCTCCATTCTCCTCTCGGGATTATGGGCACGTACACACATTGCCCAGTGTGATTTTCAGGCTGCCGAGTCCAGGACTTGAACTGCGGAGATGCTTATTTGGAATCCAGTCTCCTTGACCTTCATGACACCTGCTGGCTTAAACCTCAGAATTCCTTATTTATTTATTTATTTTTTAGTTTTTGCTATAGGGCTCGTGCACTTGTCAAAGAGAGACAGAGAGAGGGAAAGTGAGAAATCACCCCCCTCTCCCCCATTCTTTCAGGATTTTGGGCACTCAGGCACTCACAGAAGCCCAGCATGATTTTCAAGTCCCCAGGTCCAGGACTTAAACCACAGAATTGGCTATGTGGGATCCAGTACCTTAACCTCCATGTCACGTGCTGGATCACCTCACCCCCCCATTTTTTTAGTTGCCAAAGGGCACAAACTCTTGCCAAAGAGAAACCGAGAAATGGAGAAAGATAGAGGGAGAGAAAGAGAGAAAAAACACTCCCTAATAGAGCGTGGTCACACCGCGATCCCCTCTCCTCCATTTCTCCATAGTGTTAGGATTTCTGCATGCGCACGCACGCACACACACACGTCCAGTGGGTTTTTGAAGTTGCCAGGGCCAGAATTCAAACTGGGGCCAGGATCTGAATACCGAACAGCCATATGGGATCCAGCTCCCTTCATTGCTAGGCCTTGGAGCCAGACTGAGCCTCAGAATACTTACCCAGCAAAATGGGGACCAGAACAGCTACATCATGGAGGTTTTGTGTGGATTAAATTATGTGGATTAATTGAGATGACCATGAATGGCAAAGCGATGCCCAATAACTTGGTTCTGTTCCTCTTCCTAACACGAGCTCAACACACCCCTCCCCTCAGAACCAGAGCTAGCTTACCTGGTGCCATCTCCCATTATCCAGGCGAGGTCCGGCACCCACTGTAAGCTGGGCCCACTGATTGTGCATTTGGATTTCAGGCCTGCCGTCCCGAAGCCCCAGTATGAACCAGTCATCCAGAGAGTTGGTATCCCCATAAAAAATCAGTCCCTCTGGATCCCATGTTCGTAACTCAAAGGAGGAGAAGGCTCTGGAAGTTCACAGAAGGAAAGACTGTGTATGGGATACAATCATTAAAGGTCAATGTAGGGTTAGGGGAGGTGGTTATTCAGGGAGAGAGAAGGACAAGGAGACAGAGAAAGGAGAAGAGCTGATGAAGAGAGCGTAGGATCTGAGGACTGGGTCAGGAGGCAGCCAACTCCATACTTTCTGATCTTGGTGAGGTCAAAGGTCATGACAGAGACAGGCTCTTCTCCTCCATTGCTGACGTGCACAGTTGGAGGGTCCTGGGTCCCCTGTTAGAGGAAGAAAATAAAATAAAAACTGGATCAAAGACATGCCTGAGACAGACAGGAGAGGCATTGCCACAGGCTGGGAGAGGAGAGGAGAGGGCAGAGCCCAAGCAGAGCTCATTTAATCAGACAGAGGGGCTCGGTACCCCACCCCACTTCTGCACCTGGGTAGGGAGAGTATGTCTCAGGGTTCGTCCCTGGTGGGTGGGAGGCAGTAGCAGCAGCAGCAGCAGCAGCGGCCGGCACCACCGGCGGGCCCCACCGGCGCGGGG